GGCGCCAGGCATGCCTCCCGCGGAGTCAGCCCCAGCCTGTCTCCAGGGCTGCGGGCGGGAGACCTGCTCTGCTCCCCTGGACTTGGCTCCCCTTGCAGGAGCTCCTCGCCCTGGCACTCGTGGTGACGGCTGCCACCATCCAGGTACCGATGCCACAGGCTTCCGCAGGCTCCCGCAGGGCCGTTCCTCCGTCTCGGCTGCCACACCGGCATCGCTGGGCTCTACCAGCCGAGGGGGCTGAGCGGTGCCGTGGCCAGGTGCCCGTGTCCTCCTGGGGCGATGTGGGTGGCAATGGCAGCGAAGGAAGGGGAACTGGGGGGGGCAGCCCCATGGGGACAGGGATGGGGCAGGACCTCCCATGCCTCCTCGCAGTAGCGGGAGGGTGGCCCAGCACCACATCCCCCTCCTGTCTCTGCTGCCCAACAGCGGCAGCTTTGCAGAGCTGCTTTCTGGGGCCTCGGGCTGCAGCATCAGCTCCTCCAGGCAAGCGGGGCAGCCCAGTTCACCCCAGGCACCGGGACTGGGAGCTGCCGGGGGTCCAGTATCCCACGGAGGGCGTCCCTGGGACGCTGTGTCCATGCCAGGACTGCGAGCAGCCTTCCCTGCTCCCCCCACGCTGTGCCCCAGCCCTTCAGCGGGGATTTCACCACCAGCACCAGCGTTTCCTCCCCACTGAGACCCGCTGGGGCAGGCGGGGAGGGTGGGGGGGGCCCCATGGCGGCACCCGTGTGCTGAGCCCCCCCCCCGGGTGCTTCTGCTGCAGCAGCTGACCCATCTCGCGGGCGTTGGGCACGTGGCTCCTGCTGAGCCCCCCCTCACCACCTTGCAGGTCCGGCGGGCTGGGGGCACAGTCCTGCACTGCCGCAGCACGGGGGCTGCTGCCGGGGGGTCCCATCTCCTGCCAGCACTGTCCCAAACACTCCAGGGCTTGGAGCCCCATGTGCCAGTCCTGGGCTGGGGTTGCTTTCGGCGCCTGGTGCCCCGTGTCAGCTGCCCCTGAGCCGGCTGCGGCTGTGCAGCCGGGCTGGCAGTACCCAGTCCCCGCACCCCGGAGGCACAGGAGCTTGGGCAGGGCGCAGCCCCCCGGGAGCGCGGCCCAGCTGCCAGCCAGCATGGCACAGGGGTCCTGGTCTGAGTGTGAGTGGGTCCCTGCTGCTGAGCGCACCCGGGCGAGTCACCAGGGATTCCCCGAGCCCCCAGCAAAGCACGCGCAGAGCAGCTGTCACGCTGCCCAGCCCACCGGGACGTGGGTGGCAGAGCCGCCAGGGGTGGGGCTCAGCCCCC